GGCCCGGGTGGGCGCCGGGGCCCTTGGCGTCCAGGTCACGGCCCCAGCCCGGCCCCCCCGGCAGCTTGGCCCGATCTGGCGCCTGCTCCCCAGCCTGCGGGGACATGAGCCCATCAGGCCTTAGCCCTGGGGGGGCCCGATCCTGGGGCAGGGTTAACCCCTCCCTCCCCACTCACCTTCTTCAGATGCTTGTCCCGGCCCCCTTTGATCTGCAAGGGACAAAGACCGGGTCAGGACCGGCCCCCAGACGCCTGGGTTGTCGGAGTGGGGGCCAGGAGTCTGGGTCCTCACCTTCTTGCGGGCCCCTGCATCAGGGGCCGGGGGGTCACGCTCCTTCTTGCGCTTGTGGGCAGGGTTGGGGGGGTCCTCAGGGGGCGGGGCCTGCCCGGGGGGCGTGGCCGGGGGCCCCTTCTTCTTGGCCGGTGCCTGCTCAACTGTCAGCTTCCAGCGCAGCCCGTCATCCCCATTGTCTGCCCGGCGCTTCCCAGCCACGTCGCCCACGTCCTGGGGGGGGCGGAGCCACCATGTGGGGTGTGTGGCCTGAGGCGGGCCACACCCCTGGCTGGCTTCTTAGCTCCACCTCCAGTATAGCCCTGCCCTGAGGAACCCCCTGGTCCTGCCTCATCAGCATCACCCTCAGCCCCGCCCATATCACAAGCAGGGCCCCTCCCATTCCATAAACCCAGCCCTTCAGTAAATAAGCCCCACCCCCAAAGACCTAGCTCCTGCCCCATGCTTACACCCCGCCTCCAATATAGAGGCCCGCCTGCAATATAAGCCCCACCCCCAATGGGAAGCTCCGCCCTCACCTTCTAAGCCCCTCCTGTTACAACAGGAGACCCCACCCCCAAAAGAAGCTCCTCCCACTGCTGCCTACAAGGCCCCTCTCTGAAACTGGAAGTCCAGCCCCACCAGGCCTTGACCTCTCCTCCCTGGGAGACCCCTGCCCCCTCCACAGAACCCCGCCCCCGGCCCTCACCTTGCTGGACTTGCCCTCACGCTTGCACTTGGGGCACTCCCAGCAGTTGGGGATCTCGGCGTTCACCACCCCCTCGGCCCGGCCCATCTGCGAAGACATGCACCGCTCAGCCAGGACCCAGGTGTCCGGGCCCCCCGCCCGCACCCCCCCCAGCCCAGGGTTCCCAGAACGCCATGCTCTCACCCGCCACCCGAGCGAGCCCAGGCGTCCAGGCTCCTAATCCCCCTGCCCTGCCCCAGGGAACCCAGGGGCGTGGGCTCCCAGGATCCCCTGCTCCCCCACAGGGGCCCCCGGTGTGCGGGACCTGCAGGCAGGCGGGGTGGATGATCTCGTTGCAGATGGAGCACTCCATGAGCGAGAGGTCAAAGCGCTCGTCCTCGCCAGCTGCCGCCTCCTCCTTGCCGGCCTCGCCGCAGGCCACGCACACGGCCGTGTGGGGCAGCACCGGCTGTGGGGACACCCCGGACTCCCGTCAGCTCCCCTGGGGTGGGGCGCTGCAGGTGGGGAAATGCGAGCTGGTGCTGGGAGAGGGCCTGTCACTTTAAATGTGGCTTGCTCTGGGCGGGGACGGCCAAGTGTAACAGGGCCTTCTGATGCAGCTGGCTCTGGGGGGCGCAACAGCTACGTATAACAGCGTTCCTGGACGCAACTGGCTCTGTGGGGGGAACGGCTAACTGTAACAGTCCTCCCTGGTGTGGCTGGCTCTGTGGGGGAATGGCCAAGTATAACAGGACCCCCTGATGCAACTGGCTCAGGGGTTGGGGTGGCGGGGGATGTCTGAGTCTAACAGTCGCCTCCGATGCAGCTGGCTCTGGGGTGGAATGGCCAAGTACAACAGGACCTTGTAATGCAGCTGGCTCTGGAGTGGAAAAACTAAGTGTAACAACACTCCCACCCTGATAGAGCTGCACCTGGGGGGGAGTGGCCACGTATAACAGCATCCCTGCCACTGATGCAGCTGGCTCTGAGGGGGAATGGCCAAGTATAACAAAACCTTCTAATGCAGCTGGCTCTGGGGTACAGCCAAGGATAACAGCCCACCTGGCTGGCAGCTGGCTGTGGGGCGACTCACCGCGGTGCACTGGCGCAGCAGGCAGGACTGCTTCATGCGCCCAGGACCCCCGAACTTCTTCATGTCTTTGCAGAAGTGGCACTCCCCGCACTCCGACCTCAGGCAGGCCCGGCACCTGCGGCAGCGCGTCCGCCGCCGGCGAGCTCCAGGCCCCGCCCCTTTGCTGGACGACATTGGCCACCTCCCACGTCAGCTACGCCGCAGGCTGTGGGGGTGGACAGAGAGACACACAGGGGGAGGGGCTGAGATGCGGCTGGCTCTGGGGTGGAGTGACCACATAGAACAGCAATTGTGAAGGCTGGGATGCGGCTGGCTCTGGGGTGGAGTGACCACATAGAACAGCAATTGTGAAGGCTGGGATGCGGCTGGCTCTGGGGTGGAGTGACCACATAGAACAGCCCCTGCCAAGGCTGGGATGCCGCCCGCTGGGGGGGGGGGGA